CTCTCCTTCAGCGTGTGGGTCAGGTGGGCCCAAAGATCCATCTTCTCAATCGCTGTGGCTGAGTTCTGGAGCAAAGTTGACGCTTCAGCTCGTAAAGGCTGCTGCGAGAGTAGTAGACTCAGGACCTAAAACATCTCATTGTTGTCTTCTATAAATATCCTGTTGCATGACTCCTAATATAATCCCCGAGTTATGCAAAGTAAGGTATGTTGTCTTTCTCTTACTGTATTTATGCTGACAAAAGTGTTCAAATATTAAAACTCACCCAGAGTGAACAGTTAGGGACATGTGCTCAGACTTGATAGGTAGACAGGGACGGTGCCGATGACTGATGCACTCGCCTCGGCCTTGCAGCTCCCAGTCTCCCATGACCGACCCTGAGTGGCTGTCCAGAGACCGCCACCGAATCCCACTCTCAGGGCCCACTTTGTCATCATGGCCGAGTCAGTGTGGGAAATTGTTATCTGCCTGCCTCTGCCCACTGTGAGTTCTGTGAGGGGAAGAACTTTGCTCACCATGTTCTTAGAATCCCCAGTCTAGAGGAGACGCCTAGCAAGCATCTGCGGAGCCAGGGGTTATCCTCTGGAGGGAGAGGGGTGGTTTGTGGTGCTCTCGAAGCTTGAACAGCAGCAGGGCAGAAGGCAGATGGCCCCTCCAGGCCTACCTTTGCTGTCTCTCCTTCGCCCTCACTCTCTCCCAGCTCTGCTGCTTACCACTCTCAGCCTGGCCCCAGGTGTTCTCCCATCAACCCAGGATAGGTGGAGGAAGAAGCGAACCATGCACTGGCGACCCAGTTCCGTTTATCCCCTCTGCGATGAAACTTAGTCACTGGAGAATCTCCCTATAAAGTACTTTCTACGTTTTCTGAGGCAGAAACATGGTCATTTAATAATTTAAATTGGGTATTCCATTCCTAAATTGGCTCTTCTTAATGTAAACTGAAGCTATGAGATGTGTCGAAATCTAAAAGTTAAATAACATATTTTGTTGGTGAATCCATGGGGAAGCAAGCATTTTCCTAACACTGTTGGTGAGAATGCAAAATGGTACAACCCCTGTGGGGATAGTTTGGCAATAGCTAGCAATATTACGTGTGCATTTCCTCTTTGTCAGGGCAATACTGCTTCTAGGAATTTACCCCAGAGATAGGTTGGTAAAAACAGAAAAAGATCCTTGTAGAGATAATTCATGGCAACACTATGAGAAATAGCAAAGAATTCTAAACAGCACAACATTCCCATTCATAGGGCGCTGGCTGAGTCCTATACAGTGGAGTACTGTGCCACTGTTGAAAGAATGAGGAAGCCCTGAATATTGCTAAGGAGTGATGGCCGGGGTATGTAATTAAGTGGAAAGGCAAAGGTGGAGAAAAGTGTCCATGCTACTGTTGACAAAGGGGACAATATGATATACATGTTTGCATGTATCTTAAAAATGGACGGAGAAACATACTTGCTCTTTCTCTCTTTTTTAAGTAAAGCAACCTGTGGGAACCAGGATAGAGGGGAGAGATGTAAAAGCTAGATTTCTGAATCTACCTTGTTTGTAGATTTGACTTTGGAACTCCATCGGTATAATATAATCATTATAAAACAAAATAAAGTAAAAGGTTACAACCCTTGAAAATTTTGATATACACTATATCAGTTTTTTCTCTAAAAAGTTTATATCCTGTTTACCTTCTGTCAGTACTTGAGGAGAATTCTTTCCCCCCACATGTTTGTCAGTACTGGAGAGTCATCTTTTAAAACTTTGCCAATCCCATGGGCGAAAAATAGATTGCTATTTTCATTTGCATTCTCTGATGACTAGAGTGATTAAGCAGCTTTTTACTTGCTTATTATCCATTTTGTATTTCTTCTGTGAGGAAGTCCAAGCTAGAGCAATCAAACAACAACAACAAAAAAAAAGAAATAAAGGGCATCCAAATTGGAAAGGAAGAAGTCAAATTATCCTTGTTTGCAGATGATGTGATCTTATATTTGGAAAAACCTAAAGACCCCACCAAAAAAACTATTAAAACTGATAAATTCAGTAGAGTTGCAGGATCCAAAATCAATGTGCAAGATTCAGTAGCATTTCTATATGTACCAACAGTGCTCAATCTGGAAAAGAAATCAAGAAAGTAATCCCATTTACAGTAGTTACAAATAAAATAAAGTACCTAGGAATTAACTAAAGAAGTGAGAGATTTCTACAATGAAAACTACAAAACATTGATGCAAGAAATGGAAGAGAACACACAAAAAATGGAAAGATACTCCGTGTTCATGGACTGGAAGAATCAACAGTGTGAAAATGTTCGTATTACCCAAAGCAATCTACAGATTCAGTGCAATTCCTATTAAAATACCAAGGACGTTCTTCACAGAAATGGAAAAAATAATTCTAAATTTTTACGGATCCAGAATAGCCAAAAGACCCAGAATAGCCAAAATTATCCTGATGAAAAATTGGAGGAATCACATTTTCTGACTTCAAATTATACTACAGAGCTGTACTAACCCAAACAGTGTGGTTCTGACATAAAAACAGACACAGAACAATGGAACAGAATAGAGAACCCAGAAATAAATTCATACATACACAGTGAACACGTTTTTGACAAACGTACCAAGAACATATACTGAGGAAAGCACAATCTCTTCAATAAATGGTGCTGGAAAAACTGGTTATCCATATGCAGAAGGATGAAACTAGACACCTGTTTCTTGCCATAAACAAATATCAAATCAAAATGGATTAAAGACTTTAAGACCTCAAAGTATGAAACTATGAAAAGAAAACACTGGGGAAACTTTCCAGCACGTTGGACTGGGCAGAGGTTTCTTGAGTAATTTCCACAAGCACAGGCAACCAAAGCAAAAAGTGGACAAATGGTTAAAGCTCCTGCATAGCAAAGGAAACAGTGAAAAAAGCTCCTGTTTTTAACAAGTTAAACAGTTCCTGCACAGCAAAGGAAACAGTCAACAAAGTGAGGAGACAGCCCACAGAATGGGAGAAAATACTTGCAAACTGCCGGGCACGGTAGCTCACGCCTGTAATCTCAGCACTTTGGGAGGCCAAGGTGGGAGGATCACAAGGTCAGGAGATCATGACCAACCTGGCTAACACGGTGAAACCTTATCTCTACTAAAAATACAAAAGATTAGCTGGGCGTGATGGCCGGCGCCTGTAGTCCCCACTACTCGGGAGGCTGAGGCAGGAGAATGGCGTGAACCCAGCAGGTGGAGCTTGCAGTGAGCCAAGATTGCGCCACTGCACACCAACCTGGGTGACAGAGTGAGACTCTGTCTCAAACAAACAAACAAACAGAACAAAAAGAAATTGCAAACTATTCCTCTGACAGGGGATTATAACCAGAATAAATCGGGAGCTTAAATAATTCAAAAGGGAAAAATCTAATCATCCAGTTAAAAAATAGGCGAAATAGACATTTCTCAAAAGAAGACATACGTATGGCAAGTAGTATATGAAAAAGTGATCAATATCATTGATCATCAGAGAAATGCAAATAAAAATGACAATGAGATAACGTCTTACCCCAGTTACAATGACTTTTATCCAAAAGACAGGCAATAACAAATGCTGGCGAGGCTGTGGAGAAAAGGGAGCTCGCGTACACTGTTGGTAGGAGTGTAAATTAGTACAACCACTGTGGAGAACAGTTTGGAGGTTCCTCAGAAAACTAAAAATACAACTACCATGCGATCCAGCCATCCCACTGCTAGGTGTATACCAAAAAGAAAGGAAATCAGTGTATGAAGAGATGTCTGCACTCCCGTGATGATCGCAGCACTATTCGCAGTAGCTAAGGTTTGGAAGCAACCTAAGTGTTCATCAGCAGACGAGTGGATAAAGAAAATGTGGTGCATATACACAGGGAGTACTATTCGACCATAAAAAAGAATGAGATCCTATCATTTGCAACAACAGGAGGACACTTGTTAAGTGAAATAAGCCAAGCACAGGAAGACAAACTTCACATGTTCTCACTTATTTGTGGGAGCTAAAAAAAAAAAAAATGAACACAGTTGAACTCATGGAGATAGGCAGTAGATTGATGGTTACCAGAGGCTGGGAAGGGTAGTGGGGCTGGGGGGATGGTTAATAGGTACAAAAATCTAGTTAGAATAAACAGGGTCTAGTATTTGATAGCACAACAGGGTGACAACAGTTAATAATTTGCTGTACATTTAAAAATAACTCAGTATACTTGGATGGTTTGTAACACAGAGAAAGGATAAATCCTTGAGGCAATGGATACCCCATTTACTCTGTGATTATTCTGTGCCTGTATTAGAGTGTCTCATATGCCCCATAAATACATATACCTACCATGTACCCCCCCACACACAAAAGAATATTGATGTATTTCTTTTGTAAAATGCAATTTCATAGCCTTTTTTATATCAGGAAGATTTTTTTCTACTGATTACAACCCTTTATATATTATGGATATCATTTTCATTTGTTTGTTATTACCAGGTCACAACTTTAGTTCCAGTCAAGTTGTTCAGGTCCTGCCTAGTCTGATATTGAGGTTTTCTACAAGAACATTTATATGTGATGCATGCTCATGGTATTCTAGACTTACAGCTGAGCAGACTTCCCTCAACTGTTCAAATGCTGGGCATCACTGTGGGCTCCCTGAAGCAGTAGCAACTGTGTCTTCCACTGTTCGAAAGACACAGTTGTTACTTCTTTTTTTATTTCCTAGGGCTTACTACTGTGTCTAAGTAGTAAGCAATTATAAATGTCCACTTAAGTTGATTGCTGATGAACATATAAAAACTAAATTTCACTGTCTTTGGTTTGAGATCGTTCTTATTTTTAATTTTTAGTGATCCTTAATAACCATTTTTGTTTTCGGTTCAGTGTGAATATGTGAATGAAATAGTAATTTTTATGTCTATGTGAGGTCGGTTTTAAGAAAGCATTCATAGCTATCAGCACTTGCTTTTTGTTCATGGATCTGTTGAACCTGTTTCTTTCTCTAGGTCATAACTCCATGCAGGAAGCTCATCTTGTGTGCTGATAACAGAAAAGAAATGGAAGATTGGATTGCAGCATTAAAGACTGTGCAGAACAGGGAGCACTTTGAGGTTAAAAAAGAAAATACCCTTCTCCGAATGCCTCCTGTTGCCTCCCTCACCCCAGTGTCTGCTGTCTGAGTGTCTCCCACCTGCGGACCCACAGTCTGGAGCTCACATTCTCAGCATGTTCCTTATACAATTAAAGCTTATTGCTTGTCCTCTGGCAGACCTGTCCTTTATAAACCTTCCTCCTCTCCTCTCTTGGATACTTTGTTTAATCTTGTCCAAGTTACTGCATTTAACAATTTAAAAGAGAAGTCTTACCTTTGCCGTCTTGGTTTCGTTCTTCCAGCCCACCCAGTACAGCATGGACCACTTCTCAGGGATGCACAATTGGTACGCCTGTTCCCACGCGAGGCCGACCTACTGCAATGTGTGCCGTGAGGCTCTGTCTGGGGTCACGTCGCATGGGCTGTCCTGCGAGGGTACGGATGTGCATTTGTTATTCTGTCAGGAAAGGTGGCCTGGCATTTTACTTGATAAAGCCTTGGAAATCCAAACCCAGTCACCATAAATAAGCCATTGTCACCCATGTGGTCAGTCAGGGGCACAGTGATTTCTATGACGCCATTCTTCTTTATTTTACCTGCCGAAGAGTCCTTGATAAATCATTTTTTTATAGTGCTCAAACAGTGAAAAGAAGGGAAGCAGTGGGTGGCAAAAGGAGAAACAGGGGAAGCCTAGAGCACACAGAGGGAAAGACACTGAAGGAACAGTGGTCGACCCCCGTGACTCACACTCCGCAGCTGGGGAAACAGGGCTGTACATATATGGACTGAAAGTGCGTTACAGATTTAGAGGTCAGGGCTGCAGGGTTTGGGCACGGACATCCAGTCTGGTGGCAAAAGCAGTGGGCTAGAGCAGGGCTTGTTAGCTGTAGCCTGGACCACACCCTGCCTCTGCCTGTTTTTGTACAGCTCCCACACTTCAGACTGGCTTTTAAATTTTTAAATGATTGGAAAAAATCAAAAGAAGAATCATATTTTGTGACACATGAAAATTACATGAAATTGAAATTTGTGTCCGCAAAAAAATACTGTCTCTGGCTGCTTTTGTGCTACACGGTAGAGTTGAATAGTGGTGATGGAAGCTGGTTACGACCTGCAGAGTCTCCACTGCTCACTCTCTGGCCTGTTACAGAAAGCATACTGATCCCCAGCTTTTCCTGCCCGTGCCGGTCCCACCGCCATCAGCCTCTAAGCGTATCACAGTAGTTCACTTATAAAATGGGAGTGCCGTTGATTCCTTCCTTGACTTTTGTGGAGCTGGACAGTTCTCACAACACTGCTCAGCATGGGAAGCTTCTGGCACAGACACAGCTTGTAGGCTCGTGTGTCCCTTCTCTCACAGTGTGCAAATTTAAGGCCCACAAGCGCTGTGCTGTGCGTGCAACCAATAACTGCAAGTGGACCACGCTGGCCTCCATCGGGAAGGACATCATTGAAGATGCAGATGGGGTATGTTAAGAAATACCACCCGTGGGGCCCTGAGCCAGGGCCCCCCACCTGCACGGCCCCTTGCAAGCCTCCTCCCTTCCCTCCCCACCTCTGTTTCATTTGAGACGGTCACACTGGCATTGGGTGTCACAGTGGAAAGCACATGCGATCTCTGTGTGGTTGTCACGCCCCCGAGCTCCATCCTGTCCCTGTGGGTCTTGTTTGCACCTCCGACAGGTGCTGTGGGTAGATTGTGCTTCACAGGCCCTGCCATCCCTGCCCTCACTGACCATCAGGGAAGGAGTTTGTGCTGGGAAGAATGCCTCGGCTGAGTTCACAACGAGCGTTTCCATCTCAGGGCTCCTGGCTGCCCTTGACGTGGAGCCTTGGGAGCGTCCCTAGCGCGTGCCTGTTTGGTTGCAGATCGCAATGCCCCACCAGTGGTTGGAAGGAAACCTACCTGTGAGCGCCAAGTGCACTGTGTGCGACAAGACCTGTGGCAGTGTGCTGCGCCTGCAGGACTGGCGCTGCCTCTGGTGCAAGGCCATGGTGAGTGTGGGCCCTGCGCCCGGGCTGGAGGGGAGGGCCTGCTCCCTACGGTGTCCGTGTGGGCCTTGTGGCTCCACATGACCTGCTGGATCCTGGTAAAATCATCCCCGAGGCCCCTCCGGCTGAGATTGGGTTTTTGAATTGTTGGGACATTCTTCTTAGCTGTGTTTTTGGGGTATTTCTTCCTGTTGAATTTATTCCTGCCTTTTGACACATGCAGATGTGTATTGTTATGACAGATGTCACCCTGCATCATGCGGCAGGCGCTGTAGCCAGGTTGTGAGGGGTCACCTGGGACAGTTGAACTGGCCGCCTCTGTGGTGTGGAAGCAGGAAAGATGTAGAGGGCCTTCGGAGCAGTGTCGGCTCTGGGCAGTGTTTACAGTGAGCCCAGCCATGTGGAAGGGGTGCAGCCCACATGGCCTCCTGCCAGGTCCTGGGTCTCATCGTTGCTCTGGGTGGTGAGATGTGCTTCCAGGGAAAGACCCAGGGAGCCTCCATGTGCTTGCTTCTGAGTTGGTCATTGTGAAGTGGCTGCTGCAGTCACTTGCCTAGCACATCTGGCTGCCAGGAGGAAGCCAAGACACAGGGGACACATAGAGGCACATGGCCCCAGGAGCCCTCACCGTCTTCCTGAAAGTTTGAGGTAGCTGTGGTTGAAGGGCCAGAGGGTTGGGTACAGGACTGTAGCTCACACGGTGTGAACCATGACTGGCTCCTGCCCAGTGTTTCTGTGTTATGCCTTCTCAAGTGCAAAGCCAGGGCCCGGGACCCCTGATGGGAGCAGGCCAGCCCAGCTCTGAAATCACCCGCCTCCCCCGGGGCCAGCTTATCAGCTACAGGGCAGGAGGATTTCTGGTGTGTGTGAAGGATGCCAGTGACCCTTGGTGACGCGGGGACTCTTGTTTCAGGTTCACACATCGTGTAAAGAATCCTTGCTGACCAAGTGCCCACTTGGCCTATGCAAAGTGTCAGTCATCCCACCCACGGCTCTCAACAGCATCGACTCTGATGGTGGGTACCACACATGCTCATCTTTCTCATGCATGCCCACATGCTTCCTTCTCCACGCACTTTCTCCTCTCCAGCTCTGGAGTTGGTTGTCTTGGTGAGATGTCAGCAAGAGGTCAGGCACAGCTGTGGGGGCTACTGGAGGAGTTGCACAGAGTGGCACACAGTGCCCTGATTCTGTGGCATTGCCCTTAGACGGGCCTGAGACCCAAGCCAGGTGCTTGACGTGGAGGTGATGCTGTTGAGTGGCACCCAGGCTTACACAGGCCTGAGACCCGAGCCTGGCGCTTGACGTGGAGGTGGTGCTGTTGAGTGGAACCCAGGTCTGTGGCCTTCTCCGTCGTGAGCCGTTGAAGCTGTGCTCCATCTCTGCCTAGCACTTGCTGACACACTGGCTTGCAGCTGTTGTCATGTCTGACTGGGACATGGTGGCACCTGCTGACAAGTACTGCTGGAAGGGGGGATGTGGGGTCCATGGCTGAGAGGAAATCAGGAAGAGAAGAGCAGCAAGGTGGCAGTTGGACGCCTTGTGAATGTGAGATCAGATGGATGGGGCTCCCGGCCTCACACATGGGGAGTGGCCATGGGGACTGTTCGCTGACCTCCCCCTGAGTCATAGGTGTGCGTGTGTCAGGTGTGTGTCCTTGGAGGGGTCTCCTGCTGCTGATTCCATCAGTGGTGCCCCCAGCGTCTTCCGTGGCCTACATGTTTTCTTCTGTTCATTCTCGCGTCCAGGGTTCTGGAAGGCCAGCTGTCCTCCGTCTTGCACAAGCCCACTGTTGGTCTTCGTCAATTCAAAAAGTGGGGACAACCAGGGTGTGAAGTTCCTCAGAAGATTCAAACAGCTGCTAAATCCCGCCCAGGTCTTCGACCTCATGAACGGAGGCCCACACCTCGGGTAGGAAGCTTGTAAAATGTATCTTTCTTGGAGTTTTAAAAATTGTGTAGGTGGTGTGTGCTTGTTAGAAAAAAAAAAAAAAGATTAAAGACACAAAGTTTTAAATAGGAAAGAAAAGTTAAAGTGCTTCCTCCCCAAATTGCACTTGCAGAGGTGCCCACTCTTAATAGAGGTGCATGGCCTTCCAACTTGGAACACAGCGCGTGTGCGCACACGTACATACACATACATACACCCATGTACACACACCCATGCACTTGCATCTTTTGAGCCAATCAGGATTCTTCTTTACCTGCCGTTGCACAAATGCCTTCTGCGTGTGTCTGCACACAACGTTGTGGGTATGTTTTCTTTCTTTTATTTTTTCTTTCTCTCTCTCTCTCTCTCTCTGTCTATCTCTCTCTCTCTCTCTATCTATCTATCTATCTATCTATCTATCTATCTATCTATCTATCTATCTATCTATCTATCTATCTATATCTGTGGGTGTGTTTTCCTGGCATGCCACGTTGTTTGTAACGGCTGCGTAGCATTGAGAAAGAAGCTGTCCTGCAACAAGGCCAGGAGGAGTGTTTGCTGAGAGGCACGGGAGGCTGCTCGGTGTGCAGGTGCTGCAGAGCAGGAACACGCGAGGGCGACACTGGGCCAGAGTGATTCCCCTGTTCATCAGCAGCACAGAGATTAGACTGCTCCTCTGCTTGCTGGAGAGCCAGTGTGTGTTATTTGTAGTTTTGTACTTTTCATAAGTTTGTAGAAAACATTTGCTTTTGTGAATTTTGCCATTTCAGCGAATTTCTTCTTCCTTTGGAAGCATCAGCTCCAGGTTGGAGCTCTGAGAGGACTTGCTAGCACTTCCAGAGATTGTCCAGGATACCCGAAGTGGGAAGTGCCTGCAGAACCTTGGTCTGGCCTGTGTTTTTCTGGGAGGAGTCAGAGGGGTCTGTGTATTTACGAGCCAGGGGCTACTCTGATGTGAACCTCAGCCAGTTCCCTGCGTGTCCTTGGCGTACGTGCCAGGGTAAGAGGAACACGCTGCTCATCATTGGTCCTCTGGGTGTCTTCGGTGTTACTCGTCCGCACTCACAGCCAGGCACAGTTGGAGAGCAGTCACAGATGGCAGCACTCCAGCCTGCTTCCGCAAAGGCAGTACTCCCACATTTTCTGTAGACTTATCTGAATGGTGGAGGATTGCAATCACTAGTAGGCTGATCAAGACAGTATTTTAATTTTATTTTTAACTTTATATTTTTTGAGACAGGGTCTTGCTAGGTTGCCCAGGCTGACTGCACTGGCGCAATCCTGGCTCACTACAGCTCCTGGGCTCAAACCAGCCTCCTGAGTAGCTGGGACTGCAGGTGTGCACCACTATGCCCAGCTGATTTTTTTAAAAAATGTTTTGTTGAGCATCACAAAACTTTTAAAACGTTTTGTAGAGTGGCCTCACTGTGTGGTCCAGGTTGGTTTCAAACTCCTGGACGCAAGTGATCCTCCTTCCTCAACCTCTGAAAGTGTTGGATTACACTGTGCCTGGCAAAGAAATAATTTTAGTTAAAAAGTGGGGAAAGTGGAGGTATAATACATCTGTTATCACAGTGCACCAAGTAGGCTGAGGTTGTTATTAAACATGGTACCGGGGTGTTGGAGAAAGGCTTTGAAATGGCTGTGGGCAGGGCAGGCTACACAGCTGATCTGGAGAATAACGAAATATTAATTTTGGTGTGCAAGCAAAACCCCGTGATTCGTAGTGGGAGTTCGGTATGAGATGGGATGATTTAGGAAGCCCTCACAGCGGCGTAAAGGGAGTTGAGTCAGTCATTTACTGTTTCTGGAAGCAGCTCATCTCACACAGCTCACAGCAGAATTTGGAGCTACTGCTTCATGTTCCAGTTCCCGGCCTTGACCTGTCACCTCTTCTCCCAAGAGCAAGGGGCCTTACAGGTGTCAGTGTTCTGTGTGGAGCCTGGGCTTGGTGCCGCATCACCTACGCCTGCCTGTCTTCTGAGAATTCATTCTGGGTTGGACACTGAGCTCGAGGCAGGGTGCGCAGGTCAGCCAGGCCAGGAGTGCAGATGCAGGAAATGGGTAGGAGCACACGCAGGGTCCCCCGGCACTTCAATGGGGTGATGCAAGTTCTCTGGGAACCCGGGGGGCAGGGGTCTCAAGTCACAGTGGGCGTTCTTCCACGTCTCCCTGAGCTGGCGTCTGAGGAGCTCTAGTGTTCTGATGTCTGCAGGGAGACGGGGAGGCTTCTGGGCCAAGGGCACCGCTTGTGCAGAGGTGAGGCAAGAGGGAACACTGCGGGGCCAGACCGGGGGCAGCAGCAGAAAGGTGGCACCTGCCATCGGGGAGGGCTGCGGGTGCTGGCCAAGAAGTTCGGCTCCTTCCTGCAAACGAGGGGCAACCTCATAAAGCAAGGCCCATGGCCAGGCTCGTGTTTTAGAAAGATCTTCTTGGAACTCGTGTGGGGAGCTTTCAGGAAGGGTGTCCTAGTGACTGAGGCCTCTGTGGGACTCTGCGAGAGCACGGTGGTGACCTGAGCTGGTACCTGGGTTGAGTGTGGAGGAGAGGCTGCCAAGAGGGGCTGGATCGGCTGCAGGCTGGGAGGAGGAGGGTCTGGCCTCTCGACTGGGTTGGTGGTTGTGCTACCATTCTCTGAGCAGGGATGTGTCCTGTTGGAGGTGTCCTGGGATACCAGAGTGGTGTGTTCTGGAGGACAGGTACAAGTGTCAGCTTTCAGGAGTTGCCTGGGGGCTGTTGATCCAGAGTCATCTGTGTGGTTCTTGAAGCAAACTGGACGTGGTCACATAGAAAGAGGATGAGGAGTGAGCAGAAGCAGCAGTGGTGTCCTGAGTAGGACGCTGCTGGGCAGGGGCAGGTTGACAGGGGCAGGTTGACAGGGGCAGGTTGACAGGGGGAGCCCAGGAAGGAAACTGAGGAGTTAGGAGGGTAGGAGGCATGGGTCATGTCACCGGAGGACTGAGTGGGCCCAGGCATATGTGCTGCAGTGGGGACACGTAGCCTGCAGGCAGGTCAGGCAGCCTGGGGCTCCAGGGTGACTAGAACAAGGGCCAGGGTGGAAGCCAGACTGCGGCCCAGGGCCAGGGAGTGCCAAGGCTGAGGGTGCAGGGTGATGCAGGCAGCCCAGAGGGCATGCTGGGAAGGCTGGCAGGAGCCACATGTGGATGAGGCAGGGACAGTGACGCAGGGTGGGCTCACATGGGCAGGGGCCATGGAAGGCTGTGCCCATGAGCCTGGCAGGGGATGCAGTTTTGGCCCACCACTGAGCCTGTGGTGTCTGCAGAGGGTTCAGTGGCTCACCAAACTGAGTGGTCTTCTCGCTGGGTGGGGCATGGCCCTGGTGGGAGCAGTTGGTTGGACCCCAGTGCTGCTGTCGTCCCCTTGACAAAGTGGACCCTGAGTGGAGGGGCGTGCAGGCGGCTGGTGTCACGTGGCAGGACCTGTGTGTGATCTGTCTCTGGTGCAGGTCAGCCATGAGGAGCATAGGTGGCCCCTCAGCCCCATATTGACAAGCCTGTCATTTGTCCTGTGGAATAGACGTCATTTCACGGCCGTTCTCTTTTCTCTGCAGCTTACGGTTATTCCAGAAGTTTGACACGTTCCGGATTCTGGTTTGTGGTGGGGATGGAAGTGTTGGCTGGGTCCTCTCTGAAATCGACAGCCTCAACCTTCATAAACAGGTACCTGTACGGGAGGGAGCCCAGCCAGGAGCAGAGAGGGTGCGGAGGTTAGAGGGAAATCATGCAGTTTCAGCTCCTGTTCATCTCGGAGTACCTGTTCTCAGGCCAGAAACCATTGATGGTTTTGGGGAGTGTACAGTTTGGTGGCCAAGGCAGAGAGGGGATAGCCCAGGCCACCCCCTGGCATCGTGGAGGCCCGGGGGCTCAGACCATGATGTATGAGGGGGGCCTGAAGGGAGCTAGGAAAAGAATTGCTGACAAAGGACCCACGTGGGGAGCAGGACTGGGTGGGGCTGTTGCTTTACTGGGTAATTTTTGACTTGAGGCCTCTTGCTTGTGAGAAGGGGATGGCAGCATACTTGAATTTCTCAAGTCAGAGTCATGGTTCATTGGACTTAGTTTTTGTATTAAAATAAAAATAGATTTTCCTGATTGTATATAAAAGTGTTCATATATTTGTTGAATTTCCACACCTAGCCACGGCCTCCGCAGTTGATCAGCCAGTACCAGCATTTTGCTGTCTGTGGCCTCTCTCAATCACAGCACATAAAACGCACAATGTGGTTGTAATTTAAACGGGCTGTTCTGTTACTGCTTTTGTTGTTGTTGTTGTTGTTTGTTTGGTTTTGGTTTTGGTTTTTTTTTTTGAGGTGGAGTCTTGCTCTGTCGCCAGGCTGGAGTGCAGTGGCGCGATCTCGGCTCACTGCAACCTCTGCCTCCCCAGTTCAAGTGATTCTCCTGCCTCAGCCTCCCAAATAGCTGGCACTACAGGTGCACACTACCACGTCCAGCTAATTTTTGTATTTTTAGTAGAGACAGGGTTTCTCCATGTTGGCCAGGATGGTCTCGATCTCTTGACCTCGTGATCTGCCCACCTCGGCCTCCCAAAGTGCTGGGATTACAGGCGTGAGCCACTGTGCCCGGCCTGTTACTGCTGTTTAAAAATCACTAAGATGTTGCACACACCTTCTGCCTGTGTCTGTAAGTAGGCATCCTTGTGTCGTTTTCCACTGGGCACACCTGGGAGCCCTGGGCCAGCTCACCTCTGTGTGTGAGCACGGAGATCACTTCCCAGTGGTCTCCTCTCTGGGCACACCCAAACTTAAGTATTGAAATGTGGGGACAAACTGCCTTTCCTCAGGGCTGTGCCAGCTTCCATGCCTGATGCCTCTTAAAGCTGTCCTTTCCCATGCACCATCCAAGCTGTTCATCTCTTTAGTTTTTGTCCAGCTAAGTAGGCCAAAAAATGTCTGATCTTTACTTAATTCCTGGTGAAGTTGAACGCCGCCTCAGTTGGTTATGAAGTTTTAAATAAATCAACCTGTTCATGTTTTTTTGCCTCATTTTCTCTTTGAATATTCACCTTTTTTTCCTTTAAAAATGGATGTGTGGGGATTATTGTTATATTAACTTCTTATCTATCACTGCAGATATTTTTTTCCCAGTTTGTCATTTGTCAGTTCAACATCCTTTTTGGGGGGTGGTCTTTTCTTTCATGATTTTAGTCCACGTCTGTCATATTTGCAGCTGTCTACACCCCAAGATTAGGAAGATTTGCGTCTGTATTTTCTTATGTTTATTATGGCCCCATGTTTAAAAAATTCAGTCTTCCGTGTGACGTGAATGTATTTTTCAGTGATTCTGCAGTCCCTACCCAGCCTTGCTCACTTGGTAGTATTCCCAGGTGGGTGGACTTTGACAGCCTGGGCCAGGAGGCCAGCGGCTCAGGAGGAGAAGTGGTGCCGCCTGGTGGTGGATTAGCATAGACTACTCTAATTTTTGTTTTTGTGTATTATTTGCAAGTTCACTGTCACTAGTTAGGAAGACAGTGGAACCTTGTGGCTGATTTTCATACGTTCAGCCAAGGTCAGCACACATTTCTCTCCCCTGCTTCTCTTTGGCGCCGGTTGCGGCGGCCATGCCCTCACTGGGCCCCTACTGCCTTGGGGTTTCTTGTCTTCCTGGTCTTCCTGGCTGCTACTGCTCCATGGTGGCCTCTCCGTCCTTACCCTTACCTTAAGGCTGTGTCCGCAGAGCCTTGCTGGAGCCTCTCCTCCTTCACTTTTGGAACGCTCAGCGACTTGCAGGGCTTCTGCTGTCATCTCTGTCCTGGGGGCATCTCTGGATGCCTTGGGCCTTGGGCCTGTCTGGATGTCTCCTAGTGCTGCGAGTTTCCAACACTACACCATGTTCAGCCCGTGCCCCGCATTCCTTTCCTTCGAGTCTGAAAACATCCATCTAGATGTCTGAGCCAGGAAATTGGACAGTTGTTCTTGGTTCCTCCATCTCTTCCTCCTGCCTGTTTCTCACTAATTGTGGCCTCAGTCCTGCCATCCACAGTACCCTGGCCTCTGTCCATCTGTAGCTCACCCAGGCAACCTTTCCCGGGGCACTTCTGCCTGTGCATCCCCCAAGCACGATGCTTCTGGGAAAAGTTCAGACCTTTAAGAGTTTGCCAGAGTCCCAGCTTTGCCTCCTGCTTGTTCCTCTGCCTGTCTGCCTTCTGTTTCCTCACTGTCCTCCTCTTCACTGAGCTCTGCCTTGCCCTCCCAGTGTGGTGCCTCCCTGCCTGGAGCACCGTCTATGCCTGCTGTGCGCTGCTCTCCTTTTCCTTTAAGGCTCCAGGAAGCCCTTGCGGAGTCCTCAGCCCCTCTGGGCACTCTTCAGCGCTGGGTTCTCTCCATCTAGTATGTTGGCTCCGGTGTCCTGGCCTGCTTGCTCCTGCCTCCTCACTGCCAGATGTCACCCTTGGTGAGGCAGGACCTCCCCTGGTGTTTGCTGTCCGCACAGGTAGCAGGGCCTCAAGCATGGTCACTTGCACCTGGTGAGCAGAGGACTGTACGGTGCTGTAGGCTGGAGCATGGCAGGATTCCTGCCTCAAGGACAGTAACGCCTCCCCACACACTGCACCACAGTGTGGCCCTGCAATGCATTGTGGTCACTGCATTGTCATGCACAATGCATGGCCCTGGTCACTGCATTGTCAGAGTCAGAGGCTGGTGAACTCTGGGCAGTGGGCATTTCAAGAGGCCTCCTAAGCAATGAAGGGTGTAGTGGGATCTCATTGGAGCTCTGGGATGGGAATCCAGGTAGAGGGTGAGGCCTGAGCAATGGATGAGGTCTCTTCATGAACAGCAGGCAGGTGGGCAGAGGCTGAGCTCTGGCAAGGCTTCAGGGTGGCGTCCAGACTGAGAAGGGTCCTGGCGCCTTTTTTTGATAGGATTTAGAGGAGAGAAGTGACACTCGTGATGTTTTTGGAAGAAGAATTTGGCATTAGTGAGTGAGACGCTGTAGTGGATGGAGGGATGGGTGGCAAGGCGTCAGAGTGATTCCTTGGGGCTGTGGTCATAGTGGTGAAAATGGGAAGCCGGGGGATTTGGGAGACAGATCAGAGAGGGTGTGAGGGGCTGACCATCAAAATGTGACGATAGCTGAGAGATGGACCTGTGGCTCATCCATTTCTCTCAGAAGCAGCATCTTATCTCAAGGGCAGTCATGTTTCTGTCTCATTGCCAAGGAAAATGTCTGTCCCCTCCAGTGGGCTCTGCCTATAATGTGCAAGCTGCATGGTTTTAGGTCACATCCCCACATTGCTGATGTAACCCTCATGATGGGTGACAAAGAGGGCCGCAGGCTGGGAGGTGGTCCCTGCCCCTAGGTGTTTGCCTGCACATCTTCCCCCGTGTTTCCTTAGTGTCAGCTGGGAGTGCTGCCGCTCGGCACAGGGAACGACTTGGCCCGAGTGCTGGGCTGGGGCTCAGCCTGCGATGATGACACGCAGCTCCCCCAGATCTTGGAGAAGTTGGAGAGAGCCAGCACCAAGATGCTGGACAGGTGAGTGGGGATATGCTGCAGTGCCGTATGAGGAGACTTTGAGAGACAGGTCCTCTCGACCGGGTGTTCTTAACCTGGGGTCTGTGGAAAACATGGGCCCTCTGAAATTATTTGTAAAGATTTGACCTGAGCATATATTCTGATGGTCTTTGATATTTGGTCAGATTATGACAAGGATAAAAACAAAACAGGTTAAGAACCAGCCATGCCCTAGAATGATCTGGTCTCCCCAGGAGGTCAAGCCTGAGCGTGTCAGGGCCATGGAGAAGACGGCTGTGCCGTCTTTGGCTGCTTCAGCCCGGATCTCATACCCGTCGGAAAAGTGCTCCTTGTGCTTATTTGAACAGTTTAGTCTTGCCATAGTCTGTTCCCAGAAGAAGTTTTGGGAAATTATCCTCTAGTTTCTAAAGCCACTGTGATACCTTCCCTGAGTGAGGTACTGTTGTTCCAAGTGACACACTTGGCACTCGCTGACCTGTGGCACATGGGGCGCTGATGAGATGCCTCCTAGCCTTCCTAGTTGCTCCCGGAAGCCTGGAGTTCTGAGCACAGGTGTGGTGTTGCAGTGCCCCCACCTTTTCAGGCCTCCTCTGTGTGCCTTGGGGCCTGTGAAATGCTCATCTCACTGGGCCAGCTGGCTGAGCCATTTGCAGCTCTCTTGAGGAGGGTAAATCCATTTCTCCCAGAAGCAGCGTCTTATCTCAAGGCAGCCATTTATGGGACACGTTCTTCTCTTTCATGGAGCTGTACTGCCGTTAGTTGTGGAGTGCAGACATTTGTTCTCAGCCAAGTTATGGGACAGAGTCAAGACCAAGGGCCTAAAAATGAAGTCAGAAACTGTGTAAAGATCAAGGCTGCCAGCCGTGAAAGCGGAGGGCACAGGGTTCACCCTTGGGGGCCTGCACGTCTTGCCGCCTGTGCAGCTGACCTTGTATGTGCAGGTGGAGCGTCATGGCATACGAGGCCAAGCTCCCGCGACAGGCCTCCTCCTCCACCGTCACCGAAGACTTCAGCGAGGATTCCGAGGTATTGCTGGCCTGTTCACATCCTGCTCGCATGCTGTTGTGATCTGAACTGTCCTCTCAGCGCTTTGCATCACCTCCCTTGCAGAGACGCCTCCCCTTTGGTGATGGGGTGTCATAGTCAGGCCTGCGGAGGCACAGGGTGAACCCATGGCTGAGGGGATTCTCACTTCCCTTGGCAGGGGCCTTTTGGGCTTTGTGACCCTCTAGGGGCTTCCTGCGGTTGTCAAAGGCCCTGCCGGGCCGGGGGTGGGGGTGGTCCTCCTAATGGCCTTCCCACCCTGTCCATGCATCTCCTCAACTGCTCAGTGAGCCCCAAACGGTGTGCGCCTGTTCCCTCCCTGCCACGGTGCCCACAGGCCTGGAACGCTCTAGCCAGCTGTGCTGTGGCTCTCCCCCAGCCCCCAGCTCCTGCCCTGTTACACCTCTCTGTGGCGTCCGCAGCTGCCCTTCGCTCAGCCTCCTCTAGTCCAGTTGGTAGTTCTTTTCATTTGGTGATTGTTACTGTTGTGTTTTACGCCCCCACAGGTTCCCTCAGAGAATAGACTTTGTCGTCTTCAGTTTATATTTTGTGCTGGTGCAGTGCTGGGTGGGGTAGTACAAAGAGGTGAGCTTTTGTCAGAGGCTAGGACAACGGTCTGCAAACAAGGCCTGTAGGCCAGATGTGCCTGGGCCCACGGCCTTGCAAGCCAATAATGGTTTGTACATTTTTAATTTTTCCTTTTTTTTTTTTTTTAAAAAGTTTGAGAGGAAGAGTGTGTGTGGGAAGCCCAGAATATTCGCTGTCTGGCCAGTAGTGAAGTTTGCTGACCCTGGGGCTGGGTCCTAAAGACAGCAGGGATCCCACAGGGATAGGGCTGCTCTTCTGACAGGCAGAGCAGATGGTAGGGGGAAGAGTGTGTTCAGATGGGGCTCACAGCCAGGTAGAAACAGCCTCTGCTGCGAACGGACCCAAACCTGGAGCTGACCCATGAGCACACTGCTGTCAGGATGAGTAGGGGTCAGAACAGCCCCTAGCACAGGCTGTGCTGGGATCACAGACTGAAGGAGATTCATTTGTAGTTTGTCTGCAGCTTGACGAAGCTTTTAAAATCTTTCACCTAGCACTAGGTGAGTCTCAGATGAGCGTTTGAAGTGAGTCGAGGCTTGGCTGGGTCAGACAGTGTCTGTTAGGAGAGACTCATCTTTCCCAGCCTGTGCTGGCAAGGAAGTAGGTGACAGAGTCACTGGGACTGTCACAGAGCTTGCTGTCACAGAGACCAACAGTCCTGGCCATTTGGGGTGATTGCAGGTACAGCAGATTCTCTTCTATGAAGACTCGGTTGCAGCCCACCTTTCTAAAATCCTTACCTCGGACCAGCACTCGGTGGTCATCTCCTCGGCCAAGTGAGTGCCTGGTGGCCCTGGGGAAGGCATGGTGCCCTGGCCCCCCAGCCTGGAGCTGCCTCTCTAGAAGGGTCTTTCTGTTTCTCTCCCCACAGAGTGCTCTGTGAGACGGTGAAGGACTTCGTGGCCCGGGTGGGGAAGGCCTATGAGAAGACGACCGAGAGCTCGGAGGAGTCAGAGGTCATGGCCAAGAAGGTCTGTTCCCGTGCCCTGGGTGGGAGGGGCATTGAGGCAGCGAGAAGCTTCCTCTGACACCAGTAGAGGGCCGTGACTGCAGGTTGTCCAGGTTCTTGGCGTTTTGAACAAAGAATTAGACAATACGCACAGTAAAGGAAGAAAAGAATGAAGCAACGAAGAACGAAAGCAGGGATTTATTGAAAATGAAAGTACACTCCAGTGTGGGAGCTGCCCGAGCATCGGCTCAAGGGCCCAGATACAGAATCTTCTTGGGTCCAAATACCTCTTAGAAGTTTCCCATTGGCCACTTCATGCTCACCTCATGTAAATGAAGTGGTAGTCCGCAGTCAGTCTGATTGGTGGCAGAAAGCAGCTAACCAGAGGCTGAAGTGGTTACAAAGGTCACACTCCTGTGCAAACATCTGATTGCTTTTTGCAACCAATCAGAGGCTACAGAAATTACAAAGTTGCACTTCTGTGCAGACTAAGACTCAGCCCGGAGTCAGTTTGGTTGGTTGCAGACAGCCAGTTTCTCCTATTTTCCACCTGCCTGGGCAGAAAAGGTGGGGATTTGCCTCTGGTCCTTTTGTTACTGAGACGTGGAGAGTTAGGATTTTCCTTTTGATTGAGTTCTAGGAAGTGTGGGTGAAATGGCCTGAGGTTCCCTGCCTCCAGACCCTGTTCTCCTGCCTCAGCTCTGTGTGCCATTTCCTTTCCTTGTTCAGTGCTCTGTCCTGAAAGAGAAGCTGGATTCCCTTCTCAAGACCTTGGACGATGAGTCCCAGGCCTCGTCCTCTCTGCCCAACCCACCCCCGACCATTGCCGAGGAGGCTGAAGATGGAGATGGGTCGGGCAGCGTCTGTGGCTCCACCGTGGACCGCTTGGTGGCATCAGCCTGCCCGGCCCGGCCGCAGATATTCCGGCCTCGAGAACAGCTCATGCTGAGAGCCAACAGCCTGAAGAAAGCGATTCGTCAGATCATAGAACACACAGAAAAAGGTGGCTGTCTTTTGAGGAGGAGGGGGCTTTCCCCAGCACTGGGCATGCCCAGCGTCCCCTGAACACAGTGATGACGGAAGGGTGCTCGTTGAGAAAACCTCCACCGTGGCCCTCTCCACCTGTGTGCAGGCGCCAGGCCCCCAGCCAGTTCGCTTGCCCTCCCTCCACCCCTCCTCTCACACCCTCAGACCCCTTCATGCTGCCTCCCGTTGACCTCTTTCCTAGCCCTCATTGACTTCGCTATAAGCGTCTCACTCCTGTGAGACCTGCGGTCATGGTCTCACACCCGCACACCTGCGTGTCCATGTGGCCGCTCCTTCTGCCTGCAGCCCTCCAGCCTTCGCCAGGCTCCTCTGCACCCCTTGCCTTCCCCTGCGAGGGTTCCAGTCCTCCCAGCCTGTTAGCAGGGATGCCCTGCCCCAGTGCCAGGACCAGGGGGAAGATGGGGGTGGGGGTTCAGAGTCCAAGCCTTTAGCCAGAGGATGTTTGAGGAAGATCAGGCCGTGGGGTGAGGAGGGGACCTCCACCCAGCCTGACAGTGCCCTTGGCTTTGCACCTGCGTGCTCAGCCGCACACACTCTCCTTGTACAGCTGTCGATGAGCAGAATGCCCAGACCCAGGAGCAGGAGGGCTTCGTCCTGGGCCTCTCTGAGTCAGAGGAGAAGATGGACCACAGAGTGTGCCCACCACTGTCCCACAGCGAGAGCTTCGGGGTCCCCAAGGGGAGGAGCCAGCGCAAAGGTACCCGTGGCTCCACCTCCCTCTGCGTACCTCGGTGTGCTTGGTTTTGGTGAGACGTAGTGGGATTGCCAGGGGAGGTTTTAGGGCACTTTCTCGTAGTTGCTTTGGCCACTTGGTTGCATAAAAATTCACCACCCAAGGCCTGTTTCTGTACATCTCCTGTGCGTGCCCTTGAGGTGTGTGTGGTCTGCCTTGGTGGACACCAGTAGAACCCACAAGACCCCCTCCTTCAGGGCGAGGACCGCCTCCCTGAGGAGCACTTGCGTTCTGCCCTCACTGCTTCCTCAGAACCACCCTGGACCCCACAACTGCTCGGAAGGGGCTGTGTCTGGCAGAGGGAAGGTGGGTAGGTGAGGGGGGGCTGCCTTTGTCCTTGCCCCTTCCGGAACAGTCCACAGCGTAGGCCCTGGTGGAGGGTACCCCAAGCCTGTTCTGGCTGCTGGGAGGCCTGTGCTCAGAACTGACCCACGGCCACTGCATGGCCACCACTCAGAGCTCTGCTGTGTGTGCGCTCTGCCTCCCACAGCCCAAACTGACTGGGCTCACCCCTCCCTCCAGCGCTGCCACCTGTGGCCTGTTACCCTCTCCATGAGCCCAACCCCCCGAGTATCATGTGCACCCACTCGGTCCTCCGCCCCCTTCTTTGTCCCACACACTTCACGCAACTGCCTGTGGTTTGCAGCCCTCCCTCCTCAGCCCTCCCACCTGCTCGTGTTGCTAAGGACTCCTCAGTATTTCACCGCCTGTATTTCAGACAGCTGTCCACCTGCTCATGTCACTGAGGACCCCTCAGGTATTTCACAGTCTCTATTCCAGACAGCTGTAAGGTTTTCTGTTCTGTTGTTACAGTGTTGAAATCTCCGTGTGAAAAGCTGATCAGCAAAGGAAGTCTGTCCCTGGGCAGTTCTGCTTCCCTTCCACCCCAGCCGGGAAGCCGGGACGGCCTGCCTGCACTCAACACCAAGATCCTGTACCCAAGTGAGTGGCGGCCAGCAGGAGGGACTGGTGGGGGCCCTAGCACAATGCTGGGCCTGTCGCTGTGCTGGGCGCTGGGTCTGTCAAACTGAAAGAGATGGAGTTGCTGCCCTTGGAAAGTTTACAGGTCCCTGAGAAAGATAGGTGGAATTTAAAAATTTACACAACTGTGTAAAAAGTGCTGCTTTTTAAAAAAAAAAAACAAAAGCCAATTAGTACCCAGATAACCACCCAAGGAGCCCAGGAAGACGTCGTTGAGAAGGTGATGCTTGAGTCAGATTTTGAAGAATAAAGGAATTAGATTTCTGAGTGGAAAAGGGAGGTGGCCGGCCTGATGAGGGAACCCGAGGGACCGTCCCATGCTTCTAGTGTGATTGCAGGAGGTGCAGGGAGGGTGAGGTCCTGGCTGCCTGGAGCATTCCTTGATGTTCATTTCTTATGAAGGCAACCTTATAAAGCCTTAAGCCTCAACTCTCAGAGATCATTTTGGTGGAGTGGCTTACATTTGATGAGAACATGAAAACTGACTCTATAAGCCTTTTTTTTTTTTAAAAAAAAAAAAGAGGCTCTCTCTCTATTGCCCAGGCTGGAGTGCAGTGGTGTGGTCATGGCACACTGCATCTTGACCTCCTGGACTCAAGTGATCTTCCCCACTCAGCCTCCCAAATAGCTGGGACTACAGGCACACACCACCACACCCGGCCTTAGAAGCCGTTTTTTAATGTGTTTTGTAGGTGTTGGTTTCTGCCACCCAGTGTGGTTTTTTGGTTCGAGTGATTTTTGACCTAAGACTATTGGCGAAATTTGGACATGGTTATACATAATTTTAGAAACATTTAATTATGATAATATTCTGCAGAATACCGGTCCACCAGCTTCAGACACACGGGCTTCTCTTAAGTCTGTAGCTCCTGACCAGCACACCTCTTTTTTTTTTTTTTTTTTTTTTTTGAGACGGAGTCTGGCTCTGTCGCCCGGGCTGGAGTGCAGTGGCCACACCTCTTTCTTATATCTCCTTTACAGATGTCCGGGCTGGAATGTCTGGTTCCTTACCCGGTGGCTCAGTCATCAGTCGCCTGTTAATTAATGCTGATCCCTTTAACTCTGAACCAGAAACCCTGTGAGTATGAGGGATAAACCAAGTGGGCGTATTGTTACATGGCTGCTAGTGCATAGAAAGCAGATCTCAGGGTTAACTAGAGAAATCGGTGGTAGCTGATAAGGAAGGCTGAGAAGTCGTGGAGATTCCACTTAAGGAGTGGACCTGGAAACCACTACTGCACATCTGCAGAGGCAAAGCGCACGTCTCCCACCTCCTTCCCAAGGTCCCACAGTGCTTGCTCGATGTCCCCTGAGCCTGCGTGCCCTTCCGAGGCTTTTCACAGGCTCAGCTGCTCCTGCCGGGAGCTGCCCTTGTGCTGCTCTTGGTGTTCACTCTCCCATGACCTTGGCTGGACCTCACTGACTTCTGCTTACAGCCTGCCATCTTCCTCTTGCCATCCCTCCCCCTGCTTTCCTCTAAAACCTGCTCTCCTTGTTGGTGACACAGAACAATAGACTCTGGGCTGGAGGGTCCTCTGTGTGCCCCCTTCGTGTCTCCGAGCACCCTAGGGAGACACCGGCCTGTGCTGAGGCTTGTAAGGGCTGCTTGTGTGCCTGCGTGCTGACACTGCTACTCCATTGGGGACAAGGCCTTCTTCCTCTGCTGGCCTGTAGGCAGTGAAGACGTGTATAACAGTTTAATGGAGTCTTCCTAGGTATTGGAGACCATTATGGAGACAAGTGGTGTTTTGAAAACCTGTTTTTCTAGACTCATCTTTCTGCTGGCTGATTGCAGGTTCTGGGCAGCTGATGGCAGTTGGTTAAACATGGCCAGCCATTTTTCTGGAGTGGTCAGGGGCACTGACAGGAAGAAATGTGTGGTTCACAGAGGCTCTGGGTTTGGGAAAGTGGACCCCTAGATTCCAGGTGCTGGCCTGGTGCAACACTAAAGTGTCCCTGTTCCTGGCCTGGTTTACTCCTCCCCTGGGGCTGCCTGGGGCTCCAGTTCTCAGCCCTCCTGAGGCTGTTTTCCTTGGGGAGGCCAGAGCTGCAGTCCAACAGTGAGCACTGTCCCTAGGGGCCCCTGAACTGGGTATCTCCTTTGTCTACTTCATCTGAGACTGTGGAACTTCCACCTCTGTTGCTAAGCTGGGTGGTCTTATCTCTTCTCTTCACCTGGGGAGACAAAGCTGTGGTTTGCTGCCTTCCTGCTGTGGTGTGTGCCTGGGCCGTATTGTGTAGGCCCCATTGCAGCTGGGCCTGAGCAGGCCCCGGCACCCCATCATTTCCCACTGCCCCGGCCACTGCTGCCCCTCCTGCTCCAGGCCCCTGAGCCCAGTCTCTCTGCTGCCTTCCCTCATCTCTTTGCCCTGTTTCTCTCCGTTGGATCTCTCTCTTTTCCCAGGACCTATACATGCTGGCCAGGCACGTGGTCTTCCGCCTGGTAAACAGTTTTGTCCCAGAGCTTTGCTCTGGCTCAGCTGTCGGGCACTTGAATTAGATGGATCATAAATACACTGACACGTGCTGGTTGCTCTCAGATCCGGCGGCACTGGCTCAGTAAGCGAAAGTGTGTCAGAATTCTGGCCTGAGCAATGTTCCCAGGCCCATCCACCCATTGAGTTTCTTTGGAAACTTCCAGAACATCCTCTTCTCCTGGCTGTAGCCTCTGGGTGGAGGAACAGGGTTTCTTCCCTTCATCCACCTGCCCTGGGGGGGAGCCCCAGTGTGACCCTGGGGCTGGGGAGGGTGAAGGCCAGGCTGAGCTTTCCCAGCAGCTGGGGGAGCTGCAGGGGCAGGACTTCCCGCTGGGTGGGGACAAGAAACTTGAATGAGAGGAGTCTCTTCTTGTCTGTCGCACATGGGGAAAGGGAAGCCTTGTTGCTGTGGGGCTGGCATGGATGTTTTCAAGTCATTTTCCTTTGTAATTTGGCGACAGCTTTGATTGTAACTAGGGATGTTTGAGAAATGTTTTGAGATCCAGAGTTGAAATGTGTGAGTTTCTGTGCCGTAAACATATCTTCAGGTTTGGTGCTGCTGGTGGAGTGTAAGATGGGCAGCTGCTGTGGGGAACAGTCCGGCAGCTCCACTGGTGGTTCAGCCCAGAGCTGCCGTGTGACCAGCAGGCGCAGAACTGCCGGGCCATGTGGGATTGAACTGAAAACATGTCCACGCTGGAAGCAGGGCTGTTGTAATTGATTTAAAACTCACCTTTGCAGAGAGTATTACACAGAGAAATGTGTCATGAACAACTATTTTGGCATCGGCCTGGATGCAAAGATATCCCTGGACTTTAATAACAAGCGCGATGAACACCCAGAGAAGTGCAGGTAGGTAACAGGCTCAGGGGCGTGGCTTCTCCTTCCAGACAGTAGCAGATTTCTGGATTCAGCAGGTTAAAGAACGTGCAGAATGCTAAGGCTGGGGGCAGAAGTAGCGCCCAGATTTCCTTGTCAGAAGCACGGGTGCTTTCAGAGATGGAAGGGAAGCACCTCTCGGGCCGGCCAGGTCAAGGGAAATTCAACATCAGAAAACCAGTGATGGTGGTCATTGGAATGGCTGCGTCTCTTAATGAGAGGCCTGAGTCCGTGATACTACAGAAAAGCGGCAGGTGTGCCAAGAAGTTATTGCACCTATAGCGTAAGTGCCCAGCATTGTTTGTTGGAGGGTCTGTGTGTTCATCGGCACCCCAGCTAGCCCTCCCCCATCACACCCGAGCCTGCCCACGAGGCCCTTGAGTCCGACCTCTGCAGGAAGATGGTGGCGTGCGAGCCCCAAGGGACATCATTGGGGATGCTCAGTTTTTTCCCCTAAAATTACTGGATACTCGGTCTTGATCTGAAGAGAGGATGGAGAAAAATGAGAAGGGTCTCTCTTCTCAAGCTTTTCTTCTTGGGCTGAAGTAGAATTCCCTCTTGTCTGTGAAACACAAGAAGTGAGGGAGAAATGTCACCCACCCCACCCCACAGTAATAACCGGAGAGACCGTTCAGCTCTGACATGATTAGAACTAGGGCGAGGGAGAAATGGGTGTGGGGGTTGACGGTGTTTGTGCAGAGAATAGCCCTTGACCCAGAAGCTGGGAGACCCCTGCTGGATTCTTCATCCGCTGAGTCAGGATTGGCTTGAATGAACCAAGCCACGTGGTCCCATGTGGCCTCATCCTTCTCATGGTGTCACTGCCACCTTGAGGGGAGCCATGGTGACACCTGAGGGGCCAACTTTAGTCATTACTCACATTATATGTAGTTGGAAATTTCTAGGAAAACAAAAGCATCAGAACTCAAAGAACTTTTGAACCCTGAGGCTGTTATGTGCAGGAGAAAATGGCTCAGAGGCCCCAGGGACATATCCCTGTACAGCACAGGATGGTGACATCAGATCATTTAAAAATCCCTATTAGTCCAAAAATCACTGGGAAAAGTATTAAAATACACATACTTTAGCAGGGTGAAATAAGTAGTTGAGGAACAGGGGCATGCATAATACATTTCTAGAGCCTTGGAACCCTGGTCAAACCTCTCTTTAGTTTGTATTGAGAGCTTTGAAAAGTTCTCCTGAGAAAAATTCCACTTCTACAAATGTCATTGGAAATTTCTACAGAAGTCACTGGAAATGTTGGTTGAAGTAGGTACGAAGGGGCTCCTAGTGTGTCGTTTACAGAGCTTGGGCATGGGGCGAAGGAGTGTAGTCAAGGGAATTGGTTTGATAAGCTGTGGTAGAGCAGTGCCGGCTGAGGATGGCCACGTCTGCAGAGAGCGTGTGGCGACAGAGGGAAGTGTTGCTGGCGTAGGGTAAAGTGGACCAAGTAGGTGGTGAAACCATAAACAAGTTACTGCAACTGGAAATAAATATGCAAAGAAGACTGAGGAAATCCACAGCAGCACTGGGCATTTGTCATTAGCACACGTGGAGGGTGCATACAGGTGCTGGGTTATGCATGGAGGATTATGAGGAGTGCCTTCTCTTTGGTGCTTTTCTATAGTTTCTAATTTTTCTATGGTGAGCATAATTTTTTAGGCAGAAAAAAAATCAGGATGTGAAGTTTTTTTTATAGAGTTCTATAATGTTTTGACTTTATTTATTTACCTTTCAGGGTATGGTTACTTCCTTGGCAAAATGTTACTATTTAGCAGAATTTCCCATTGGTAAACATATCTCTTTATGCATATCTGCAAAAACAAAAATGTGTCCTTCAGTTGTTACTGCTGTAAATAATTGCTAAGTGTAGCTGATTTGTGGGTCAGATGCCATTCCCAGCTTTCACAGAAATGACTCTGGTTAACTGTACGAAGAAAGCCCAGACCCATGGCAAGTCTTTGCTTCTGGTTCTAGGAGCCGAACCAAGAACATGATGTGGTATGGAGTTCTTGGAACCAAAGAGTTGCTGCACAGAACCTACAAGAACCTGGAACAAAAGGTCTTGCTGGAGGTGAGTGGGAGGGTCCTTGTCACCTGCAGGCCGGCCTCCATCCATCAGCAGACTGCCAGGCCTGTCGCTTCTCCTGTTGACCATTTCCTCCATGCACAGGGACTTGCCTGGAGATGCCCTGGCCACCGCTGTGCTCCCGAGCCCCTGGCGGTGGGAAGCTGGTAGAGAAGGAGCAGCTGACTCATGCCTTTCTCTTTTCTTTTGTTCTGTGTCTTTGATGCTCAGTGTGACGGGCGACCCATCCCACTCCCCAGTCTTCAGGGAATTGCTGTCCTTAACATTCCCAGCTATGCCGGAGGAACCAACTTCTGGGGGGGAACCAAGGAAGATGATGTATGTATGGGGTGTGGGCAGGTGGGCCTGAGCTGAGTGGGGAAGAGCTGTCCGAGAGCAGGGAGGTGTTCTGCTATGGCTGCGGTGGATCTAGCCCTGCCCTTGTGCCAGCAGTGGGGCTGCCACGGAGAACAAGATAGACAGGGTCCCCCACTCAGCTCATCGTCTAGAGGGCTGAGCAGAGCAGATGTGTCAGTGAAGGTGGTCAGTGAGGGTCTATGGTCAGCAGATGTGGTCAGAGGGTATGATGTGGAAGGAGGGTCAGGGAAGGTGTCTGGGAGGCCAAGATCTGAAGGATGACTTGGAGTTGGCCAAGTTAGGTGGGCAGAGGAGAAGGGGAGGCTCTTCCAGGCAGAGAGAATTGCATAGATGAAGGCTCAGAGTCAAGACAGGGCAGGCACATGGAGGATGTGGGAGAGGTGCCCTGACTGCAGCGGGCAGCAGGAGTGTGGAGAGAGAGGAGAGGTCTGCAGGGCTTGGGTCACATTGGGCCGTGTGAGCCGGGGAAGAAGCTTGGAATTTGTATTAAGAACTGTGGGAAGGTGTTCATAGGTTTAAACCTGGTTTAAACCTTCCTTTGTACGTACTAGCGAATGGAAATATTCAGTGCTTCCTGCACATGTGGTGTGTGCTGTCCCCAGTCCTGGCACTCTGCAGTGTTAACTCACTTGGCCCTACTGATGGCCCTGGAGGAGCGTGCCATTCGTTTCCCCATTTTACATATGAGGAAATGGGGGAGAGAGAGAGATTTGGTAACTTTGCCAGGGTTAGAGCTGGGATTTGGACCCAGGCAGCTGGTTTCAGGGCCTGCAACATGAGGCCCCTCAGGAGTGTGGTTACCTGGTAACTTCCCGCCAGCTGGGAGGGGCTGACCCCGAGAGGGAGGGAGCGAGGATAGGGGTGGCCTGTGCGGGGATGTGTGGAGTGGTGGTCAGCTCTAACGTGTCCCTTGCAGACTTTCACAGCTCCATCATTCGATGACAAGATTCTGGAGGTGGTCGCTGTGTTCGGCAGCATGCAGATGGCCGTCTCTCGAGTCATCAGGCTGCAGCATCATCGGATCGCCCAGGTAGTGGCCATGGTCCTGGGGTGCCTGGCCGGGAGTGTGCTAAATTCTCGGGCAGCGCTTGGAGACTGGGGGGGTGGGTGCTTTCCAGGGCCACGTGGCTGCCTCATGTCCTGTTCTGGACAGCTCGTGGCCCCACTTCCTGGGCCAGAGCCCTTTCCTCGTGCTATGCTTGACAGTTAAATTCTCAAGATAACTCTTTTTTTTCTTTCTTTTTTTTTTTTTTTTTGAGACAGAGTCTCACTGTGTTGCCCTGGCTGGAGTGCAGTGGTGCATTCTCGGCTCACTGCAACCTGCATCTCCCTGGTTCAAGTGATTCTCCTGCCTCAGCCTCCCGAGTAGGAGTAGCTGGGACTATAGGCACCCACCACCATTCCCAGCTAATTTTTGTATTTTTAGTAGAAGCGGGGTTTCACCATGTTGGCCAGGCTGGTCTTGAACTCCTGACCTCAAATGATCTACCTATCTCGGCCTCCCAAAGTGTTGGGATTACAGGCGTGAGCCACTGCACCCGGCCAAGATAACTCTTTCAAAATGTGTATCCCGCTTGAGCCCAGCCTTGCCTGTCCCCTCTGAGGTGGAATGAGATAGAGCACACCCAGGGTGAACTCTGCCTGTGTCTGCGGCTTTCAAAGCTGCAGCTGGAGGTGGGGACGGAGCCCATGGCTCTGGTGTGGGGTGTGGGGGGATTTCCATGGGGCCCTTGATCACGGTTCTGAGGCCCAGTGGTGAAGGGCTGGGAGTGCCCCCATGGCTTATTTCTGACAGCAGTGATGGGCTGATGGGGCAAGGACTCTGTGCCCAGGCATAGGCACTGGGGCGGGGGAGGGTGCTGATGCCACCCACTGGCTGAACCCCAGCCTGCGACTGTCTGGTCTCTTCCAGCACTCTGTCTACCCTTAGCTGTAGGCTGCTTGAAGTTCACAATTTTCACTCTTTGGCAATGTTTGTTGTTGAAAAAGAGGAATAGGATGATGTTGGATGGCTCATCGTCATCCACGATGCCATCTGCTCTTTTCCGGGGGTGTTTTCACGTGGCAGGGGCCCAGAGGCTGCTGGGAGCTACGACACCCCTGCCCCTGGGTTCTGACACCTGTTGTCTCAGCACCAAGGTCTCCTGCACTGACTGCTCGGTGAGGGGACGGGGCAGGATGGGGCGGGACAGTGGAAGAACAGACCCTTGGCTCGGTGACACAACAGCAGAAGGCTAGCTGCAGGCGGAGTGCCATCCCAGAGGCGGAGGTGGGGTGTCCTGCAAGGCAGGGACGCGTGTGTGGAACAGGAAGGTCGTGGTGGTGCCGACAGCACTTTAAAACCCCTGGAGGTTTTGGCTCAGCACGAGTAATGGCTATGATGTCTGCTCAGTGTCGCACAGTGAAGATCTCCATCCTTGGGGATGAGGGCGTGCCTGTGCAGGTGGACGGAGAGGCCTGGGTCCAGCCGCCAGGGTACATTCGGATTGTCCACAAGAACCGGGCACAGACACTGACCAGAGACAGGGTAAGAGCGGCCACCCGCGGTACCTGGGTGGGGTCCAGGGCTCACCTGCAGGCGCTTGTGTGCACTGTTAAGAGCTGGAGCTTTTTGTGTTTTGTTCTAGGATTTTTTTTTTTAAGACACAACGATTAAATTAATAGGGCAGTAATTTCTAGGACCATCTCCTTCCCCTAATGTTTAAGAAAAAAAAATCCCATTTGTCCCTTTCCTAGTTGTGATCTCATTGGTGTCCCCATAGTGTCTGTGGCGGTTAGACGCATGCTTCAGGGCAGCAGGTGTAATCGGGCTCTCGGGTCCATAGGCATTTGAGAGCACCCTGAAGTCCTGGGAAGACAAGCAGAAGTGTGAGCTGCCCCGCCCTCCATCCTGTGCCCTGCACCCGGAGATGCTGTCCGAGGAGGAGGCCACCCAGATGGACCAGTTTGGGCAGGCGGCGGGGGTCCTCATTCACAGGTGGGCTCCTGCCCCTCTGCGTTGCCCATGAGCCCCCCTGGGGTCCCCAGGACTGCGCTCCTCCAGGGCCCCTGGGGCGTAGAGCTGTTGCTCCTGATTTTTGCGGGGTCTGCATTACCCATGAGGGCCGAGCCCGTTTCCGTGTGCCCTCAGCTCTGGCTCATTTCCCCAACGGTCTTTCAGAACTCACCTGGAGTTTACTTGACTGGATCTTAAAACTCACTGTGATTTTCAGGGCCACTCATTTAAAACCTGCCCTGGCTCAGCCTGGCGCGGTGGCTCACGCCTGTAATCCCAGCACTTTGGGAGGCCGAGGTGGGCGGATCACGAGGTCAGGAGATCGAGACCGTTCTGGCTAACATGGTGAAACCCTGTGTCTACTAAAAATACAAAAAAATTAGCCAGGCGTGGTGGCGGGCACCTGTAGTCCCAGCTACTCGGGAGGCTCAAGCAACAGAATCGGTTGAACCCAAGACGCGGAGGTTGCAGTGAGCCGAGATCGTGCCACTGCACTCCAACTTGGGTGACAGAGCGAGACTCCGTCTCAAAAAAAACAAAAAAACCCTGCCCTGACTCCCAAGGGCAGCCGCTGACAGCCTCCTTCACTTTGCCCTCATTTTACCCTGAGAACAGGCTTGCTCTTTGTTTTCAAGTTTACTTAAAAAAAAAAAAAAAAAAAAAAGACAACTGCTAGGGGCATTTCCTCTCACCTGCCTTCTAGAAATGCCCCTGGAGCCACTGTGTCTGTCCCTCGTGGCCGGTGGTCAGCATTGTCTGCTGTCCCTGCTCCTCGCCTGCCCTGTGCGGGTGCCGCTTGTGAGCCCCTCCAGCTGGCACCTGTGGTTCTTCACCGGTACAGGGCCTTCCTGCCTGCATTCTCCCCGTGGCCGCACGCTGGCTGGTGCCCTGGTGTCCCTTTCTTGTTTCCTCCGTGCTCCCTCTTCTCCTGGCTGTGGATGGGTGCACCCGTCGGTTCTGTGCCCGGCGTGCTGTGTGCCCTTCCAGGCAGCCTGCCCAGCCCTGGCGTGCAGATGGATCATCTGTGCCAGCCTCCAGCTCTTGTTGAGCAGGTGGTCGCTGTCCCAGTCATCGCCAACGTTCGTCGCTCTGCACTTCCATACCGGCTGCAGTCCTTCCTGGCGCCGCATTCTCTGCCCCAGGAGTTGGTGCCACTGCGACCCCTGTCCTCATCTCTCTCCCGCCCCACCCAGATCAGTGATGGGGCTGGAGGACTTCAGTTCAGCTAATTCCTTGCTATGCAGTAGGCTTCTGGTGGCCTCCCCTGGAAGGCCATTACCCTGTCCCCTCAAAGCCCATGGTGGCCCCTGTGGCCTGCCTGGAAGGTGCACTTGCACAGCACTGCAGGAAGCTGCTGGCAGTGGCCTATTTCCACAGGGTCAGGACAGGTTGGCCCCGCTGCCTCTGCTTGCACTGCTCCTATAATCTCTGTCCTTCCATCTCACCTGCCTGAGCCACGTCTCCGCCTCCCTGAGACCTGGTGTGACTTGTGCTTTCACCGTCTTCCCCATAAAGGCTGCTGCCTGGGGTCTGGCTCAGAGCCCATCACTACACCAGGATTGTCCTCTTCAGATGAGGGTCCTTTTGTCCCCAGGGACAGACCGGCCAGCTACAGGTTCCAGCAAGGCTGTGGGCATCTGGGGATTGTGCCTTATTGTAGCAGTCTCTTCAGTGGGCCTGCGCACACTGCTGCTTGCCCACTGACCGTTTTATAGCTTGGAAGCCTCATTTTGCACATTTCTCTCCCTGGAAAATCTTGAATTTTGATATCAGATGACTCCTGTAAGCCCTCCCATTTGCTGTTGGTCGTCCTGTGCCCAAGCTTGTGACTGAACGGTCGCTGGGCTGAGCCACGATCCCTGTGGTCCTGCTGGGCCTGCCCTCCGCATCAGCCCTCCGGGTGGTAGCTGGGCTGTGTTCAGATGAGTATTGTGAAAGGCTGCCCTTCCATTTGGCCTGACATCTGCCCGTGCTTCTCTTCCTCTCTAGTATCCGAGAAATAGCTCAGTCTCATCGGGACATGGAGCAGGAACTGGCCCACGCCGTCAATGCCAGCTCCAAGTCGATGGACCGGGTGTATGGCAAGCCCAGAACCACAGAGGTAGCTATTCTGGCCTTTTCAGTCTTGGCTTCTCCTCAGCGTCTGCAGCCCTTGGCCTTCCCCATGCATGTTTGCCTTGGTTTCTCCTAGGGGCTGAACTGCAGCTTTGTCCTGGAAATGGTGAATAACTTCAGAGCTCTGCGCAGTGAGACGGAGCTGCTGCTGTCTGGGAAGATGGCCCTGGTAAGCTGGTGCCCCGGGAACAGCAGGGCTTGGGCTGTGTGTGAAACCACTGCTATCGCCAGGTTGCTGGGAATAGAGGGCAGCACACCTTAGTCCAGAGTTCCTGGCCTTAAGGAAGGGGCCTCAGAGGTCATTTGGTCTGTCGTGCGGCTAGTGCCCACCCCTGCTGGCAACCCTTCAGTCAAGTTGTCTCAAGCACGCAAGAAGCGCTTGCAGCAGGAACACCTCTGTCATAGTGGACACAAGATGCTTTTCTGGACACAAGAAACCTATACTGCAGAGTCCTGCTCCTGCCGAGAGCTGGTCACACTCTCAGGCACCTTGCACGCTCAGCCCTGCAAAACCGGCTGATATGGCAGCCCTGGGGCAGCCACGGGGCTGTTACTAAATCACAGCGGCTAGAACAGGGAGAGGCCTCAGAGAAGAACTGGCCAGCCTTGTGGTTTTAAAGATGAAGAGGAGGAATGGGTTTGCTAAATAATCGACAACCGGAGAACCACCCCAGGTGTGGTTTCCCAGCCCTCAACTCCTCACTCCACGAATCTCTTCATCCACAGAAATCATCATTCCACACATCTCCTCACTCCACACGTCTCCCCACTCCACATGTCTCCCCACTCCGCCCATCTCCTCACTCCACGCATCTCCTCGCTCCACGCATCTCCTCGCTCCACGCGTCTCCTCACTCCACACGTCTCCTCCCTCCACGCATCTCCGCACTCCAGGCATCTCCGCACTCCACGCATCTCCCCACCCCACACATCTCCCCACCCCGCGCATCTCCCCACCCCGCGCATCTCCCCACTCCGCACACTCCGCGCATCTCCCCACTCCACACACCACCTCACTCCACACACCTCCTCACTCTACACACCTCCCCACTCCACACATCTCCCCACTCCACCCATCTCACTCCACGCATCTCCTCACTCCACGCATCTCCACACATCTCCACACTCCACGCATCTCCTCACTCCACACATCTCCTCACTCCACACATCTCCCCACTCCACACATCTCCTCACTCCACACATCTCCCCACTCCACACATCTCCCCACTCCACACATCTGACTCCACACATCTCCTCACATCTCCACACTCCACTCATCTCCTCACTCCACACATCTCCCCACTCCACATATCTGACTCCACACATACCCTCACTCCACACATCTCCTCACTCCACACACTTAACTCCACACATGTGGAGTGTCCCCACTACACACATGTCCCCACTCTACACATCTCCTCACTCCACACAGCTCACTCCACACATCTCCTCACATCTCCTCCATGCATCTCCTCACATCTTCACACTCCACACATCTCCCTACTCCACACATCTCCCCCTCCACACATCTCCCCGCACCACACATCTCCCCACTCCACACATCTCCCTACTCCACACATCTCCCCACTCCACACATCTCCCCACTCCACACGCCTCACATCTCATCTCCTCACATCTTCACACTCCACACATCTCCCTACTCCACACATCTCCCCACTCCACACATCTCCCCGCACCACACATCTCCCCACTCCACACGCCTCACATCTCCTCACTCCACACATCTCCTCACTCCACACAACTCACTCCACACATCTCCATACTCCACACATCTCCTCACTCCACATGTCTCCACACATCTCCTCACTCCACACATCTCCTCAATTCACACATCTCCTCACATTCCTCACTCCACACATCTCCTCACTCCACACATGTCCCTACTCCACACACCTCACTTCACACATCTCCCCACTCCACACATCTCACTCCACACATCTCCTTACTCCACACGTCTCCTCACATTCCTCACTCCACACATCTCCTCACTCCACACACTTAACTCCACACACGTCCCCACTGCACACATGTCCCCACTCTACACATCTCCTGACTCCACACAGCTCACTCCACGCGTCTCCTCACTCCACACATATCCACACATCTCCTCACTCCACACATCTCACTCCACACATCTCCCCACTCCACACGTCTCCCCACTCCACACATCGCCTCACTCCACACAACGCCTCACATCTCCTCACT